CTGCTTTCACCACGCATGCGCACATCTATCAGCTCCGGAGCCTGGAAGCAGGCGATGGAGCCAAAGCCAAGTGAGCTTCCTCCTCAGTTTTGTCAGTCCACCAATCAAGGGCATTCTTACTGCTTCGCATTTACCTGCCTGTACCCAGCCCTGCCCACTGACCCAGTCCCTACTCACCCATCAAGACCAGTTTCATTTTCTCCATAACGCTTCCTCTTCTCCTAACCTTGACAATCCCCCCTCGCCAGACTTTGGGAGCTCCATGCTTGTTTTGGAGCTTGTTTTATTGTTCTGATTCCCCTCAGATAGGAAGACGGAGACCAGAAACTATACTTGCTTATCAGGCTAAATACCAGAAGTCACAGTAGGTTGGGATGATGCTAACTCCATGACAGGCATTTTTCTGCCTTCTGCCTTCTGCCCACTCGTGCCTCCTATCTGTGCCGTCCCCACAGCTCGGTCCTCTCTTCTACCCAGCACCAGTGGTTTCAGTTCAGTTGCTACCAAGCCCTCCCCCATGGTCCTGTCTTAAAACCTAATTTTCTGATGGAACCTTTCCACAGGGTCCAATTAGTGCTGGGCTAGGTAATAAAGAAGAAGACGATGAGTCTCAAGTCATCCTAGTTTGGGTCACCCTCCTCCATGTAACTACAAATCATTCCAAATGCTGTGAATGTCACTGATGAAAAGGAACACTTAGTTGCTGTCTAGGACAGCAAGCTGGGAGGCAAGTAGCAGCCTGGCAGATGATCTGTGTTTATAACCCAAATCACCCCCCATGAGCTCCTCCTCCAAGGACCAGAAGCTCTCCCACATCTCTGGGGCTTATACTTGGAGGTACACTTGCTTATTTATGTGCGCACAACACATTGCCAAGCCTTACTCTCAGCTGGCTCTGCATGAAGTTTCAGTCTGGTCATTAGAAATGAAAGGTGGTTTCAAAGGCGTTCAGAGAGCAATGAAAGGAGCAGGCAGTCTCGTGACTTACACCAAATGTGTGTATGTGCATGCATGTTTGTATATATATATGTGGTATTTGCTCATATGTGCACTTCTTCATACAATGAGAAACTAAAAGGCAGAGAGAATCAGGTCTGAGCTGAGTGCACAAAGCTTCTCAATTTCAAAGAAGTCAGAAAAGGGAAGCTTCAAGTCTTAGATGCTATGCCCAGGTATTTAGAGGATTGACCATCAGAGATATGGTTTGTGTTTTGTTGTTTTAATGTCTTTTACACCACAATCTGAGATAGAAGTTTTCTGAACTCTATTCTGACAACCACCTTGTGAGAGAGTTTTGCCTCTGTATCCCCACTTTATAGATGGGGAAAGTGTGGGTTAAGGGATTAATCCATTTGCCTAAGATCATCTAATGAAGAAGTAATAAAGCCGAGATTCGAAGTCAAGTTTCTTCGACAACTAAACACAAATTTTGCCTTACAGGACAGAAGAAAAATCTAAAACGTTTATGGAAATAAAAAAAGGATAGCACTCAAGAATGCATGCAGGTGCATACACTAAGCTGGAGGACACTGTTTTTTGCTCATCTTGCAACTCAAAACCAGCCCAAGCCAGATTGCAGGCTCTTGAGGGCCCACAGATCAACCTGGAATCAGGCAAGGAAACACAGACTTGTCCGAGGCAGAGGTATGACTCTCTGGAAGGGGCCAAGCCAGGAAGGTTCCTAGAGAAGCCCATGCCCACATCTGACCACATTTGGATAATAATGAGAATCAAGCTGAGGAAGATCTTCTAACCATAAGACCAGAGGTAACTTGGTATAACTGCAGGTCAGAGGAGACACTAAGTCAATGCTGAGGAAAGTTGGGACCCTTGTGCCTCAGTCAGAGAAGTGACCCCTAAGGGCCAGCACCACAGGAGTCCACAGCGCCCTTCAGGGCAGGTATTGAGTGTGTAATATTGTGCAGCATTCAAAGGTGGTTTTGAGTCTGTGACTGAAAGGACAAGGCTGCTCCCTTGAGCCAGAACACTGGTTTCCACAGATACAAGCAAGTTCTGATTTCTCACCCCACACACAGCCTGCTTACATGTTAGGTGAGACTGTAGTAACTGATGTTCTGCACTCAAGGACTGTACTAAAGGACCTCTTTGCTGCGAGTCTGGCAACTAGAAAGAGAATGGATGCTGAGCTCTTGATGCTGTGAGGCCATTGGTATTTTACTGCATGACTCTTCAGGTGACTGACTACCTGGAGTTCATCGTCTTTCTCTTGGCTAAGTTGTGTCTTTCTCTAGAATGGTTTCCGGTGTGTATAAGCTGGTCTTTTCAAGGAATCTGAGAAGGGTTTGGCTTTTTCGTCCTATCCTAGGCTCTAACTACCCAGTCACTGTATTATTTATGAACTGGAACATGGTTACACTGCAAGTTCAACTATTGGTAAAAACCCCCAACAGCTGGCAGCTTCTGGGTCTTCTGCAGCAAGAAGGGAGAACACATTGCTATCCAGACACAGCATCTTTACAGGAGTTTTCGGCCAAGAGAGCACTTCCAAACAGTTGTCCAGAGGGCGTGTAGTACAACTCAGAGAGTGTGTACAACTCAGAGGGTGTGTACAACTCAGAGGGCGTGTACAACTCAGAGGGTGTGTACAACTCAGAGGGCGTGTACGACTCAGAGGGCGTGTACGACTCAGACAGGCCGCTCCATGCTCGTTCCCAGCTCTCTTCTTTCTGCCTGTGCTAGGAAGTGCATTGAGAAAGAAAGAGATCTCTCTGTTCAGTCCCTCTTACAGGCCCTCCTGGATCTTCTCTTTCTTGATGATGGGAATTGAAATGATAGGAACCTTAAAAACATCCGTGTCAGAGACAGGATGTGGTACACAGAACACACAGTTTTATTGCCCCTCTCAAATATTCCTCAGGGATTATATGATTTAGAAATATAAAATTCAAATGCATTGAAATAAGGAATGTCTGCCCTGTAACTATCAGCTCAACTGTTATAATAAATGTGTCTGCTGAGACCAAATATTACTCGGCTCAAAATAAATAAATAAAGAAAGAAATAGCAAATGGGGCTCTTTGCAGCCTCCTAGTGGTTGGAAAGGGAACGACAAGAAGAATTCAGAGAGTAGCTCTCATTCTCAAGGCCCACAAAGTTTTACAGTAGAACAACAAAAAGCTTGGCTTTAACCATGAAATGGATATGTTCTAAGTGAAGAAAATAACGAACTTAGTTATTATATATGCCCTATATAATAACTAAGGTTAAATATGTATAATATGTATAACACACACAGAGAGCCACACTCTAGATCAGTGGAAGCCGGCATTGCCGTTGATTTACTTTGTCTCCCTAGTCTCTGATTTCCCATTCTCACCGAACAACTGAGCAACGTGTTACACACAAGGAGCTCTCTTCTCAAATGACTTCTTCCCTAGTCTTTTCTTACTGTGAGCTCCCTACCCTCTTTGTCGACAAGAGCTTTTAAAGATGCCACTTACTCTGCGACAAAGTGGTAGATAGCCTCGGAATAAAGGAATCTGCCTGCCTATCCAAAGTGTGTGTACTGGGAGGAGAGCAAACCATTTGGACAGTCGTTGTTTTCTTTATTCTTATTATACCATATCAGCATTGATCACATTGATCCTTTTATACAGACATACACTTTCTAAAAGTCATTTTCGTGATGGTCTTTTCAAAGAAAAAAATCCTTGTTAGGAATGGGGAGGGGATGTTAGAAGGATGCTGCTGTACAAAACTTTTTCATATTATGCCACCAAAATTTAATAAATCAAAAGAATAGAAGTATCTCCCATCTCTAATTTATCACTTGCAAATGACAGGCAGGGCAGTTCTCAAAGCCCAGACAAGGCGAATGGCCTGCTTCCCCAACTTCCCAGTCTCCAGAGAGATCCAGTCTGCTGTGCGCTCCTCCCTGCTCTGCTAGCAAGCCTCTTTAAATCGGGCTGTCTCTAGTTATGAGTCTTTTTCCAACAAGGACAAACCCTCTGTCTTCAAAATATCGCCAGGCAGGATTCCAAGGACCACATAATCCCTCACCTTCACCTGACAGAAACCAAAAGCACATCCTCCTTGTCAACAGCGCAGAGAATCAACAAGTTACCACTTAAGTCGAGCGCTCCATCCTGAAATCAGTCAGAGCCTCCCCAGAGCCCACCATCCACCCCAACCCTGCTCCTGCGATGCCTCCCAACCTCGGGCTACCGCGTGACCTTCTGTTCCAGACCCGCCCACTAGACGCCGGTTCCCCAGCATGCGCTCCTCCCAGCGCTCCCTGGCAGCTGTCAAAGTCTGGGGCTCGCTGACTTCTAGGTTCGCCCTGATAGCGCCAGCATTCATGAGAATCTTAGAGGGTTGGAGAGGTCAAGATCAATTAGAAAGACCAGAGAGGAGTTCCGGGTTCGGAAACTCGGACCTCTGGAGAAAAGCAGAGTGCGACAGTAGGGACCATCACATCCCGCGCTTCTTCCGGACTCTGCCCATCATGAGGGTGTACGTTCCCAGGGGACCCAGAGCCTGCGCTGCGGAGCCTGCGGAGCGCCCGGGTGCGGGCAAGGCTTTCAGATGCATACAAGTTCCCACGCCATCCCCAACCTGGAGTACCAGTCCAGCTCAGCTCGCTCCTCTGAAGACGCCCCTGGTTCTTGCCCCCAGGACAGGAGTAGACAGACACCTGTCCCCCGCCCCTCCCCATGCCGCCTACAGGGCCCGTACCCGGCCCTGCTCCAAGCATCCCTGAGCCGAGTCCGCGAGACTCCCAACCCAGCACACAGAGCCCCAAAGTTCTCTGCACTCCATAGACCTCGCCTTCTCCTTGGCGCCAGGACCCCGCCCAAAGAATGGACCGGAAAATCTCTTGGGTCCACAGCTAAGGGCGCTGACTTCGGAGACCTTGCGCGCAGAAACCGAAGCTGCCACAAGAAAGGGTGGGTACTGAACGCCTAAGTCCGCGGTTTGCACCCTCCAGCCCGCCTTGCCTGGCTTTTTCCTGGTGAGGAAGAAACTTCCCCAGCACCCACCTTTCGCCGCGAGGAGGCGGCGCCGCCGGCTGTCCCCGCCGTCGCCACTGCCGCCGCTGCTCCCCACGCCCAGCGCCAGCAGGAGCGGCACCAAGCACAGCCTCCTCAGCAGCATCCTCACCGCCTGAGCCGCTATCGAGCTACCGCCGCCGCCGCCTAACGCTCGCTGCCGGTGTCACCCTGTGCCCGCCACGGGTCGCCTCGCTGCAGCTTCTGGGTGAGCTACAGGCGCCGCCGCCCTCACCCTCCGCCTCCGCTGCCCTCCGCCGCGCCGCTCGCTCGCCGGCAACAGCAGCACTCACTGGCGCGGACCGGAGCGGCTCCGGCGCTCACCCCGGGACGGCCCGTGACGTCACGAAGGGAGGGAGGTGGTTCGTGCATATTCATGAGACGCGGACATTGGCGCCGGGTTGTGTGCTCCCCCGCCTCTCAGCTCAGGCCCCCAACTTTCCACAGCCATCCCCAAAGCCGGGCACTTGTATGATCCCCCTCGGTCAGGCGTAGGCTCCCGAAGGACCCTAAAGGGAGGCTCCAAGGAGCCTTAGGGCCTGGCGTCCCCCCTGCACCTCTCCAAACTGTAGCTGAGAGGTGCGGTGAGCTCCTCCACCAAGTGATCACCTGCGACCTGCGGATGTTCTGTAAGGATGCAGGCGACCCTATCCTGGTGTGCCCTTTGAACCGACTTCCCTGAGGAAGAGACAGGATACTGTCTCTCAGGGCCCTGCCCCTGGCTGTGGTCTAGAAATGGACGCTCTATGCCTCCTGGTCTGGGGAGGGCGCCAGGAGCTCGCTAGAGCTGCAAAGCGCTGGTGCCTCTAGGAGTTGTAGGGCAGAGATCACCTAGGACCTGCGTGGCAATGCCAGGCTCTGTGCCATCTCAGCCACTGCTGGAGTCAGGGACTAGCTAAGACAGAAAAGGCAACCTTCAGTCTGCAGTGGGAACCACATTCAAACTTCCCCCTCAGAAGTTGCCACCATTTCCCACTGTCTCTGTAAGAGCATGCCATGCCTTCTAAAATCTCAAACAGGGAAGCATCATCATTGGAGGTGGGATTCGTACTGTTCTCCACACCATCAAACACGCTCAGGCTTCAAAAGGACCAAGATCGTTCCCAGCAAAACCAACCAATGGCTCACAATAAATCACTGGCTGTATTTCAATAGGTGTACTCTTTGCCCACAATTCAAGGGTCGTATGGAGTGAGAAATTATGTAAATAATAAAACACGGAAACAAACAAAATTATGCCTTCGCTCATCATTCATTTAAGACATTTCCTGAGCACTAACTAGATTATGAATGCAGGGTTAGGCAATAGAGAACACCGAGTTTTTCCCCCCTCTGAGAAGCCAAAAAGGGGATGGATGCAGTTAAAAGTCCACATGCTATGGTCCTGCACATTCTTTATGTTGCTCGATGTGAGCCTTTACAAATCAATTACCCAAATGTGTATATTACAACAGCAACTAGACAGCATCTCATAATTAATAAGTGTGGTTTAAAGCACACAACCAAGCCGTAAAATGCATTAAGAGCCTTCTGCCGCTCAGCCTGCCTGTGTGGTCCTGGCAGCACACCTGGGGCCCTGTGGTGGTGAAAGCAGACACTTCAATGGTTGAGGTGACAAGAGGTGCTTGGGAACAGCTGCAAAACCCGATGGCCACAGGGGGCTCGGAGCTCACTTCTGCGGCAGGTCCCCTTGAGTCCCCTGAGCAACACCTGTGCAATGGATCTCATTTCATATGGGAGGAAGTGGGGGCTTAGGAAAGTCAGGTTGCTCCGTTTCCCAAGGTAAAGAACTAGCAAGTGTCAGGCCAGCATCAAGACCTCACCCTTCTTGGATTTGAAAGGCACAATCCGGAGAATGGCCTGCAGAGAAGCCAATGATGAGAAATGTGTATTTGACTAGTTTTCGGTCGTTTGTGCTCCATCCAATGCAGCTGATATTCACTCGAATAAGAACCTCCTTGCTGACTAAATACGATCCCTCCAAGCCTTACACTGACTGTTGTTAAAAATCTACTGGTCCCAAACATGTGACAGGAAGTTTCAAATCCAGACCAAATAATGAGAAGAAGAACATAGAACTAATTTCAAAACACCCCGAAACAGAAAACGGCCAGGATAGAACACTACAGAGAAACACGGTAAGTAGGGACAGGGCACTTAAAAACAGGCCATCTGTGACTGCCATCCATCTCCCCTCCTCAAGAACAAGGGTAAGAGCATTTTAAGAGCATTTTGATAGATGAAGTAAGTGCTGCAGGAGTTTTAACCTAAGAAGCTGGTGAGTCGTGCCTCTCTGGAGCTGTTTCCCGTGGTGACTCTCTGCTGTTCCAACTCTGAGCTTGGCCGCGTGGTTTGCTTTGGCTGGAACAGTCGCAGGCTTGACTTTTTTCTGTTTCTTGGACCCCTGCCACTGCCATGAGAAGAAACTCATGCTGAACCTGCAGGAGGGTCAGAAGCCAAGATAGGACAGAGCTGAGCCATGCCAGCCAGCCAGCCAAAGCCACTCTAACCTGGTCAGCACAAATGATCCACAAGTTGACCACAGACACGTGAGCAAACTCAGGCAAGTGATCTTGGCTGATGCCAAGCCTGGGCCGCATCAGAACTGTCCATCTGACAGTTGAGAAATAGAAATGGCTGTTCCATTAAGTCACTGTGTTCGAGAGTAATTGATTAAGCAATACTATAGCCACTGCATAAGGTCAGTACAAGAAGTGAAAAATGAATATGAGACACTCAATATGCTGTGCATGGCCAATATTTAATAATACGAATATGTCTCCTTCTTCGCCTACTTTTCAAGTCTCTGAAATTCCTGCCATAACCATGATTTGGCTTTCTTGGGTAGGGGAAAGACAAAATGGCCTGGGTTAGAGTAAATGAAAGTAAAAAAAAATTATCTTAATAATACTCAAACCGCAAGAGCTTCCATCCACGCCATGTGCACAGCGCTTCCCCTGGGCCTCTCCAGGAACAAGGATTCCGTCAAGCACCCCAGCAGCCAGTGGATCCCACTCTCTCAGTACTAGACTGGGTAACAGGGTCGTGTATTTCATGGGTCCTTTAAATCTTGCAACAGCAGTTGCTAGTTCCCATTTTATTGGGATCAGATTTCTACCTCCCAAAGTTTGAATAACTAGTCCTCATTCACATAATTGTGCAGAATATCAATTCGCATCTGCCTAATTCCGCATCCCAACCATATCTGGGATGGTTTCGGGGAGAGGCACGGGAGACAAATAAACAATGAGAAATAGGATCAGAGCAGAAAAGGTAGCTTTCGGGTTTGACTTTTCAAGTCGTTATCCTTCATCACAGTTGAGTAATGATCATTTAACTAACCAGTTATCACCCAAGCGGTGATACAAATCTCTGAGTTTGTGGAGGCCATGCTTCGTATCCTTGATTCATTCTTGTTCTCTTCAAGGTCTCGCTCAAAATTTCATGAGCAGGATGACGTAAGGCCTCGAGCCCAGGGCCCCACCTACAAGGCAATAGTGAATCTCGAGCAATTCATCTGGGTCAATAGTTTTAATAAATAAATAATTCCTGTGCCCCAGAAAATAGAATCTAACAGGAACAGATCTCACACGAACACGGCAGTTCTTGCTCGTTGTCACCGTGGCCATTAACGCCTTGCCCAATTAAGCCCCAAAACACAGCCCTTGAATAATTGAAACTGAATAAATGAAGAAAATAAATAAATTATACCTACTTATGGAAACTGATTTTTTTAAAGAAAATTAAATGGGAACTTTCCACATGACCCACATTTGATCCAGCTAAGAGTACTTAACTTTGCAAGGAAGGCTGGGAAACTGATGTTTAAAAAACTAGAACTGCATATGTTTCCCCAGTTCCAACTCTGCAGGTAAAATGGGGCTCTGTGGCCCCAGAGCAACTAAGAACATCACTGAGTTTTCCACACTGCTCTGAAAAATCTGATACAAGGACAGCTGCTGCTGCAATAGGAATGTGTTTGGTTGGTTGGTGGGTGAGTGGGTGGGTTTTGTGTGGAGAACCTAGAAAGCCTTGAGTAAGCTTGTAAAGAAAGGATGAAGTCTTGAGAGAATGTATACTGTTGACATGGGCACAGTCATGTCAAGGACCTAACCCCTCAGACCCATGGGAACGGCAAAGCCTTCCCATCACCACAGGGCAAGATAAGGCTTAGAGGGATGCCACAGCCTTCCTTTGGTCTGGGTCTAATGTGGTAGTGTGTAAAAAAAGTCTTCCTCCTCCAAAATGTCTGCAGGCTGAGACTGCTGTCTGCAGATACCTGCTGCACAGATAGCTAGCTCCCTCCCCTGTGCTGTGCACTACACACTGAGGTTCTGGGTTGAGCAGTCAGTCCCACTCCATCAGGATGCACATGGTCCACATGACTCCAGATTTTCTGTATATGTGTCTGTGTGTCTGTCCTTTCTTCATTGTGCAGTCCCCTCAGTCCCATCAGTGACGGACACAGCATTTGGGTTGGGCTTGCTTGTTTCTGTTTTTAAGTCTATGTATTTCTTTTTAAGCAAAAGTAAGAAGTTCTTGTTCACACCATAATTCAGTTCGTGTTCAGCTCATGCTGTTTGGGCTTTGATGTTTTATTCTTAGCAAGGAAGAATGATGTACAGAAGAAGAAGAAGGAGAAGGAGAAGTAGAAGAAGAGGAAGAAGAAGAAGAAGAAAATTAGATGTCATTCATTACAGTAGGACATTATTCCTAAACACTCTCCTATGTTCATATATATAATATATGTGTGAAGAACACACACAGATATACAGATATACATATGTATATACATATATATGTATATTTATATCCTGGAGTAGTTCCTGTGAAAACAGCCAGATAATTCAACAACACTTCTTTCACTGTAAGATAGAATCTCTTTCTCCTTCCTTTGAATCTGAGCACTGACTTCAGTATCAGTGACATCATGTGTCTTCTCAGGGCCAATCATAAGAACTTCTGCTTTGTTGGCTAGGATGCTTATGTATGAAGGCTGGAGCTTCCATGTGACAAGCCAGCTACCTGAGATCACTATGTGGGGCCATTGCAAACATCTGAAAAGGCTTCATGATGTAAGAGTGATAGTCTGAGTTAAATCAAAGAACCTCTAGATAATGTATTTGCTAGCTATAAAATAACCACATCCCCAGGACTCACCCCTTCTCCAGATATTTCAATCTTCCCAGATTTAGTCTTAGGCTACTGTGGAACAAGGTCAAGTTATTTCCACTAAGTCTTGACCCAATTCATGGTCACGGAATCCAGGAGTACAATCAAATGGTTGTATAAAGTACTAAGGTTTGGTATGGTTTAATGTACATCAAGAATAATGAGAAAATCTTTATTCTCATTTTTCCAACCATAAAGACTAGTAGATAAGAAATGTGCTGGGTAAATCAAGTTTCAGGAGCCCTTTTGAGTAACTCAAATGTTGAGACTTGCAAAAATAAAGCAATGGAATCAGTTTTTAAAAACTGAATCAGTGAAACTTAGGAACAAGAAAGAAAGCAATTTCTAGACTCAGATGGGTTGAGGTTGTAACCACTGTTCAAGTGTTTACCTCTGGGTATCTCCCGAGAAATCTCCTTACCATTTGTTCCTCAGGTTTCCTTTTCTGAAAATGGAGACCAAGGAAGCCTGCTTCAGAACTAAATGGAAAGGAAGCAGCTAAGTCCTCTTTCTGCCATATGGAAGGGAGACGGTGGTCACTTGGTGGTATATAGGTTGCCAATAGCTTATACTGACTCTTAATTCATCACATGGTGCTTCTATTCTATACAGATAAAATGCACATGGGTGTGAACATACATGAAACCACACTAGTATGAAGCAGGTACAGTACACTCTACCTCATTGAACTCAGAAAAAGGCTGAAAAATAGGTTTCTCATTTCCACTAGATGTCTAGAAAAATTAAAGCTTAAAGGTATTAAGTGGCCTGCACTCAGAGATTAAGGAATCTACTCATGTGGAGTCAAGGAAGTCCTCAGTGGATGTGTATTGTTGACATAACCACTGTCATGTCGAGGACCCCAATGCCTCAGACGGTGGCAATGGCAAGACTTTTCCCAGAGGGAATTAGAAAGGATTTCCCCTGGTGAGAATACAGGTGTGTATAATGTACGCAAAAAAAAAAAAAAAACCATCAGCCACAGCTTCCTCCACCAGAAT